TTCCTCAGGAACGCCGCGGGACGTGACAAAACGTCGACATGTTACGCCTCGGGAGTGAGAACGCTCTGTCGTCATATAAAATTGAATCAAATGGAAAGCCTCTTTTTAAAACTTGTTTAATTACTTTTAAACTTTTAATTTTATGCATCAAGCAGAAAATAAATTATATTCAACAGTCTTTGACTTGAAGAAATTGTTTAACATTTAAACCTATTTCCTGCATATAAAATAAAATAATGTCATCATAACGCAGCTTGCTTATGGGAAAGTAACAGTAATCAAATTACTTTTTTTGCAATAGTAATCCCTTACATTACTTGTTACTTGAAAAAGTAATCGGATTACAGTAATGCATTACTGCCCATCGCTGGAGATCACACACAGACTTTAGACTGAGGTCTCAGCCTGTAAAGACGATCCCCCAACCGCCCCTCCCTGAGCCTGGTTCTGCTGGAGGTTTCTTCCTGTTAAAAGGGAGTTTTTCCTTCCCACTGTCGCCAAAGTGCTGCTCACAGGGGGTCATGTGATTGTTGGGTTTTCCCTGTATGTTATTGTAGGGTCTACCTTACAATATAAAGCGCCTTGAGGCGACTGTTGTGATCTGGCGCTGTCTGAATAAAATTGAATTGAATGTATTGGAATTTCTGGTTCTGCACAGGCCGCTCTCTCAGGTTTCAGTTTGTGACATCAGTCTCTTACACGCCCTCTTGTCTTTGCTATAGATGAAAATGTATATAACTTCAGGACTACGTCACCATCTACGTCCACTCGAGGTGCAGCGTCTCCTTCTTACCTGTCATAAAGGTTGAACAGCAGAAATTTCTCACAGATTGTCCACTGACAGTTAGACATGGAGGAAAAATCTGTTGTCAAAAAATCAAATATGAACCTATTGATACATTCTGATGTAGTTTTCCCACAAGTGGCAAATAAAATACATCAGCTGGTCCAGCAGCACATGGGCTGTAAAGATGCAGACGTTTCCACTGAGTGACACGTTTAACCTGCAGACTCCACGCACGTCTGCCACATCAAACACACAGCTGAGCCTGACAGACTGAAGATCTGTGGAAACTCTGAGTCCTGCAGAACTGAGACGGTGGCTGATTACAGAGCTGGTAATCACGCCGAGCTCAATGATGTTTAATGAAGCTGAAACTGAACACTGCGCTCTGATGGTTCAGCCTTGAATGACGTTCACGTGGCTCTGTGCTGGGCGGGTGCAGTCTGGTCTGATCAGCTGGTCTCCGCCGGGCCGGCACAGGAATCTGGTTCTGTTGTCGTTTTATAATCTTCTTCATCCTGATAATGACAGACTGCGAGTTCAGCTTGCAGCTGCTCTAACTACATGATTGCTGTAATCAGACTCCATGTTTCATAAACTACTCTGTGTTTGTGTTTTGGCTTAGGCCGACCTTTGACCTCGTGATTTAGCTGTCTCAAAATGCTTTAGTCTGAATATGATCCACACAAATTTTCCAGAGAGCCTCCTCGCCTTGAAATTAGGCCAATAATGGGACTATTTCCAGCAGCGGATGAATCTGCACTGGGTTCTCTGGTGACAGTAATTTATGTTGAACTGAGCGCAGCTCTGTGGGACAGAGAAATAAGATACAACTATAACTTTTATCTTTACGCCACCACAGTTATTTTATCCTGGTAGTTTTATTTTCTTGGTGCTTCTCATGTTTTTATTGGTCAGCAGAGCTCCTTCTTCCTGCTGCTGCGAGCTGCCAGCCATCCGCTCCTTCAGACTGTTTATTCTTTTTAATTTTTTCCGTTACGCTTCTTCCATTTTCTCATCCACGGAACCGTTGCCCTGATCGCCTACAAAACACTTTCAAACAAAAGCATTTAGAAATTAGAGCATGGGCAGTTCCTGTCTTTATGAGTAAGCTGTGGATGATTTCCTCCTGTTGACCCTCATAAATAACTTTCTTATTTGTATCTTAGTAACACTTTCTGTGTAGAAGACAGATAGGAGTTAAAGACTGGATTAATATTTGCTCAGTACTGCAGTCTAATATCGATGAGTTCTATTTTTCTTTCATCAACATCTCTCAGGTTTGTTCTCATCTGCAGAGCTGTCCTCTATAACCTCCTGAGACCCGAACTCTCCCACAGCAGCATTTTTTATTTCTCTTTGATATTTGGGCTGATTGGGACCTGATGAATGTAAAAACAAAGAATTACCAGATTTTTACCTTATTAAGAGCCACATATGAGGATATTCATTTAAAATATTTGATAGAACAGTAGCAGGATAATGTTCTTGTAAGTGGATATCAGGCCCTTGTAGAGCAAAATTGAGTTTTTTGGTCTAAATAACCCAAAATGTGATGTCCAGGAGGTTAAAGCCCATTTGTGTAACTATTTCTAAATCCCGTTAGAATTGCAGCCACATAAGCTAGCGCAATAATTAATTTTTTTGCATATGAAACCGGAGGAGCGTACTTAAGCAACACGCATTCAGCTTGTCTCAGGTCACAGTTTCCTTCCAGAAATGTCTTTTTTTTAAAATCGCATAAAAAGCGCTGGAAACAACAAAAACATTATAATCGAGAAACACGCTTTGCCGAGCCGATCAACGTCGGAATAAACGTCAGCGCAAGCTATCGCACGACCGCCCTCGCTTGCCAAAACCGGAAGTGATGTCATTTTTGCGGGAAACATAGTTTTTCCCTACGGGGCCTTTCGAAGGTTTGCTGGTGTTTGTGAGTCATGTTGGCCTGTCTGTGTCATTTTGTTGGAGGCTCAGGACTTAAACTGCACTGTTGTTGGAAATAGTTTATTTTGATGCTTGCAAAATGTTCACAAATTATTTATTTTCATTTTTCCTGCAGTTTATAAAAATTGGTGCATCTCAAAAATGTAAAGACACTCAAAATACATTTCCAGTGTTTGGAAAATATTTCATGCAACTAAATATAAACCTAGTTTATTGCACTTTGTTTTGTAATTTATGTAGTTACTATGGACTTATAATATAAACATATTATTAACATCTGGGATATAATGGCTGTATTGACATATAGCAACTTAAAATGCTGCCACAAATGGCACTACAGCAGGTAATATATTAAAATAAAATCTGGCCGACTTGGTTCTCTGACATGTGACAGAAAATGCCGCTTAAGACTAAACCTTCATGATACTTCTGTATCATTATTGTGTCTAATTATAGGTGTTGTTGCAATGACTTAATACTGCCACTGTTAGATCAAACTGCAAATTACAAGGTGGTCATCTATAATCTCTAACCAGCGGCTCTGCGTTATCTTAATATAAACCCTATAAAAACAGAGCTATGCTTTATATGTAAGTCTATAAAATACCTGAGAACAGTGCCGTGTTTGTGATCATGATGCATTTAAACCAAACGTCAAACTGTTCATTTTTTTCTCCTCTTCTTCTACTCCATCTATTTCTGCTCCAACTGCGACTTCTCTCTCCTCTCCTTTCTTTTACTATCTTTTGTTCTACCGTCCATGTTCTTCTGGTTCTTCAGTCCTGGTTCGTTACGTCAAAGCTGACGGGAAGGTCCACACCGTGAACATGCAGAACGCTAACCTGGCTGATGGACGGACTCACTCCATCATCCTGAGAGTCGGTGGCCTGCAGCGTAACAACATCAACATGGAGCTGTATGTTGACTGCCGACTGGCTGACTCCAGCCAGGGCCTGCCGCCGCTGGTTCCCCTGCCCAGAGAGGTGGAGATGGTGGAGATTAGACACGGGCAGAAGACTTACGCCCGACTCCAGGTTGGAGCAGCAGAAAATTAACGATCTGTTCAGTGATTAAGGAAATATTACGAGTGTTTTTGAAATAGAAGGATGTGTCAGGGGTAACTGCTGGTTGGACTAAACTGGATTTTTGAAGACACTGCTTCAGGCTGTGGAAATACAGATGAGACTTTTACTGTGAAGTAGAAGAACAGGGTTTAAATTACCTGACGAGCAGCCAGTTTGCTGAAAAAGCAGGAGGTAATTATTTGTGAAAGAGGGGGTGAAAAATGAGTCGCATAAACTCTGGATTAAAATCACTAAGTGGGGCAGGTAATATTAAAATCACTCCACCTCCCTCAGAGAAATAAATCCCATCTGAAAGGGCCTTTGTGCATGAGCCAGCACAGGGACGAGCACAGAGGAGAGTGAATAAAGCAGTGATGGGCAGCACCGCCAGTGGAACATTCGTCAGTGTCTGCACTTCACATGAGGAAAAAACCCAATTAAAGGGCGTGCTAATTACAGCCCTCTGCCAGTTTAACTGCGTCTGAGCTTCAACGTGAGAGTGAGGAACACATTTTGATAAATGAAGGGAACGGTTCCCTCACAGTTCTTGCTCTGTTCCACACTTTCTCTTCTTCTTTGTTTCAGGGGGCTTTGGTGTCCCTCATGATGGCTTTAGGGGGCAGCGTTGCTAAAGCTGGATCTCTGACTGACTGCCCGTTCCAAGGAGACTCGTCATCCTATAACTCAGGTCAGCTCACTGAGATCTCACTCAGTGTGGCTCTCTGCACTCAGACCTTCAGAGAGAGCTGGTTTCTCCTGCAGCTTTACACTCCAGCTGATCATTTTCTAACTGTAATCAATTATACCCTGTGTGATATTAATAAACAGTGATGAATTCTTTCTCTTCCAGTGAGCGGCGAGGTGAACTCCATCCTGGGTGAGATTTGCTTTTTTTTTATGCAAATAATCAAAACCAATAATCACATTTGAGCTGATTTCTGATCACTGACTATACGTCTCCTGTCAGGTGACCACACCAAGGCTCTGATTGGCCAGCTCATTATCTTTAATCAGATCCTGGGAGAGCTGCGACAGGACATCAGAGAACAGGTGAGGCAGACAGACAGGTGAGAAAAAGTCTTCTGTTGGTAGACTTTCATGTTTCAGGGAGTACGTCCGTCCATCCGTCCGTCCATCCATCCATCCATCCATCCATCCATCCATGCATCTATCTATCCATCCATCCATCCATCCATCCATCTGTCCGTCCGTCCGTCCGTCCGTCCATCCATCCATCCATCTGTCCATCCATCCATCTGTCCGTCCGTCCGTCTGTCCATCCATCCATCCAACCATCTGTCTGTCCATCCATCTGTCCATCCATCCATCCATCCATCCGTCCGTCCGTCCGTCCGTCCGTCCGTCCGTCCGTCCATCCATCCATCCAACCATCTGTCCATCCATCCATCTGTCCGTCCGTCCGTCTGTCCATCCATCCATCCATCCATCCATCCATCCATCCAACCATCTGTCTGTCCATCCATCCATCCATCCATCCATCTGTCCATCCATCCATCCATCCATCTGTCCGTCCGTCCGTCCGTCCGTCCGTCCGTCCATCCATCCATCCATCCATCCATCC